ACCCTCTCTTGCGCAAGAACTGTTCTTCCTGAAAAAATGAAGAACAGCTCTTAGGCAAGAGGGGATTTTTGCACAAAAAGGAGTCATTTACACACCTCCTTTTTGCGCAAAAGCCTCTTGTGCAAAAACGCCCCAATTAATTATGCAAATGAAGCACAGTGATATTCTACTCCGTGCTTCATTTGCATAAGCTTTTGCAGAAGAAGGGTGCAGTATAGACGTAGCCTTAGGCTATGTACACATGACACACCCTTACAGCAGCACAACTGCAACACTACAGCCATGCCACTGTAAGGTTTCCCATCTACCTGCTCTTTGAGCTCTCCTGCTGGCATAATTAAATCACTTCCACTGAGAAGTGTTAGCTATGTTTGCAGGAGAGTCTCTTTGGGCAACACAACCCAATCTACATCCGCACTTTTGCCAGTGAAAAGTATGTCAATCGGGATGTGGGTGTTTTCACGTCCCTGACTGATGAAAATTTTAATCAATAAAAATGGCAGTGTAGACAGTCTCGCTCTGGCATAAGAATATAAACTTAGCTTATATTGCTTAGGAAGATGGCTGAAGCTAAATTGGAAAAGGCACTCTTACAATGAAATAAGTATCCACAGGCATATACAGCTACAACTACACTGGTATAATTGGTTAAAAAAATTTCCTGTACACCAGACCTTGGTTTAAGAGCCTGCTTCTTTCTTTCTTTTTACTACACATGCTAGCTCTGAACAGATGGTTGGGGAAGTGATCTGGTTATTCCTTTTAAACTGATTTTTGGATTAATACATATGTATGTGTGAAGAGACATTAAATGTAAAAAGGGTATAGTAGAAGGTGTTTCTTAAACTTTTTGAGACCACAGAACACCAAACAATAATATTTTTTACGGGGAACACCTATGAAAATGTTCTTCAAAAAAAATTGTCAAACAAAAAAAGACAAACAAAGAAGAGGTTGCGGCACACCTGCACGTTGTTCATGGGACACTAGTGTTCCCCTAGTTTAAGAAACACTGCTTTAGAAGAGATAAAATAACTGTAAAAAGCATTGTCAAATCACCTTTATAAATTAGAGATGTGAATGACTCATCAGGAGCAGCCCCAGCGGGCCCTGCATGGGGCCGCCAGCCAGCACTGTACAGCGGGACCAGGGAGACAGAAGCCAACCCTGTGAGGCTGCGGCCAGACTGGAACAGTCCCCTGCCCAGGACCTTGCTCAGTCAATGAACCAGTTAAATGTTAGGTTTGCCTAACTTTTAACTGATTAATCAGGATTTTACATCTCTCTTGTTCATATCTTGCAAACCTACTTTCATTGATTTTAAGAAACCGTTAGTTTGAGTGTGACTGCTGCCCATCCCCTTAATTTAACCTGCAATGCTTGCACTCGAATCATTGCTGGCTCTCTCCTTTCACCACTATCAGTCAGGAGTGGACAGTTCACCGTGCCAACCCACGCTGGCTGCTGCTAATGAGCCCGCGGTTTGCCTCGCCCTGCAGAACGGGTGCAGTGCAACCAGTGCTTAATGTGTGCCACTGTTTTGACACCTCTCGATGTGACAGCTCAGAGCCTTGGCCCCTGGGGGCTTGGTGAGTCAGTGAGGCAGGGCAATACACACTGCTTGAGTCCTGGCACCTAGCCACGAGCAGCAGCAGCTCCCCCGGGGCCGCTGTTTGTGTTGCTGGGAGGCAGCAGCGCTGGGCGGCAGACAAAGGGCAGGCCCGGTGGCTCCTCCGTCCTCGCCTTTTACTTTCTCTTTAAAAGAGCAACGGGAAGCGCCGCCCCTGTCCAGCCCGGCCGGGCTGGGGG